TCTGTACACAGTTAAAATAATTATACTATTTAATATTTTATGTTTAGTTTGATGAGTTTGTTTCTTTTAATTTGTTTTTTGCCATCYAATAAATAAATAAAAACGTTTTCGGTGTAAAGTTGGTGTTTTGAAGAGCTGATGTCGTATTTGTAACACAAAGCTTGAGTTTAGAGTTTAAATATTTATAACAGAACGAGATGTTTGAGTAAATCTGGGGAAATTCGATCGTTTCAGCTCCTGAAGTAGAAGTGGACAGGAAGCAGAGCGGGGACAGGACCAGCGACCAGGAGGACATGTCTTCTATCAGACCGTGAGCCTTGAAACTAAAAAAATAAAAAAATAAATTGATGGTTTAATAAAACGAGTGTTTGAAGATGTCCTCCTGGCTCTTGGTCTGTCCAGTTTGAAGGAGACAAAGCTGGGGACGGACTGGGACAGCGAGTGGCTGCTGGACCAGCAGGACACTGGGGCTGCTGTGGAGAAGACGCCTCCTCGCCAGGTGCTGTCGAGYGAGGTGGTCGTAGAGCAGCCTGCAGGAAGTCCCAGTGAGGAGGTGACGACCTTTGACCYGAGGAACAGGAAACAGAGGGATTAATTAACAAATTAAAAGCATGACGTGGCTGGCTGTTTGTCCTCAGGTTGTCCCTCCTGTGAGGAAGAGGCAGCCAGGAAGACGTGGACGTCAGCTGGTCTTCGCGGACGTGACGACTCAGATCTCAGACGAAGCCATGCAGGAGCAGATCAGAAACCCGCTGATCCAGACGCAGGAGCTGGTGCGCATCTGCAGTGTTTTTATTATTATTATTATTTAGTTTGTAAAAGCTGAGACACTCAGTTTCATTTATTGAAGCACAAAGTTGAAGAAATGCTTGACTGGATGATTGAACTCCTCTATAACCTAAACATCTCTTTCCAAGTGTCTGAGTTTCAGTTCATTAAACCTCAGCTTTACGGTTCTTTTCCTCCTCGATTACATTGATTTTACTTTGCATCTTTTTTTTTCTCCCCGCTTCAAACAGAAATATAAAAACACTGTGTTCTTTAAATCTTGTCCTTTCAGAATAAAGTGCTGGTGGACCTTAAGAAGCTGACCATGGAGGCCTCCCCTGCTCAGCTCTACGGCGCCCCCTGCTGTAAATGTCAGTACCGACAACCTGACGCTGATTTCACATGATGGAGTGTTTTAAAATGGAAATTAACTCTTTAATTGAGCTAGTGGAATGAAACAACTSCTGACCTCTGACCCCTCTGCAGCTCTCACCCAGGTTGATCTCCTSTCTCTGTGGAAACAACTAGCCTCCATCGACAAGCTGCAGAGAAGCGAGGAGACGCCAGGAGGGCAGGACATGGAGATGGTGAAGTTTATACGTATATACATATATATAAAGCTGCTGCAGGCGGCTTCAAAAAGTATAAAAGTTACAAAATCCAAACATCACAGGACACTGATTCTGATCGAGACAAATGTTTTATATAGGAAAAAAGGTTTTTAAACAATAGAAATGACCCTTTTCTGTTGAAATGGCAGCATGATGGATCAGTGGTCAGCACTGATGCTTCACAGCAAGAAGGTCCTGAGTTCAGTCTGTATGGAGTTTGTTTGGAAAGAGATCAGTGATCTCAATGACATCTGCCTGTTTAAAGAAAGGTCAATGAATTCATAAAATTTAGTGTGAATGCAAAAAAAAAAAAGGTGAAAGTACCAAAAAATAGCCAAAAAAGAAAAGATATATATCTGAAAGTAGCAGAAAATGACTAAAAAAGGAATAAACAGCTCAAAAAGTAGCCAAAACAGCAAAAAAAAATAGATGTAAGTAGCAAAAAATGCTTTAAAAAATGGTAAAAGTAGCAGAAAAAGCAAAAAATAACTGAAAGTTGCAAAAAAATTATGGAGCCTGTCCGGTGACATGGAATAAATTTTTTTTCACACGGCCACGAGATAATTAACGCGTGCGCACGTGATAATTATGTCATGGCCACCACGTAGCTAATTATTGTTGTCATTTCCATGCAGACTGTTCATTGTTTACATGGACAAGTCTGAATTAAACTAATTTATTTTGATTTTTATAGAATGAAGGGCGCTGCTAAGTCAGCACCTTATAAGCATGAAGCTGTTTCTTAGCTTTATGTGCTGCAGATATAAGTCCCAGGTGACAACTGGAGTTGTTTATTTGTTGAAAAAGATTTATTTATTTATTTTTTTTTTGACACTCAACTTTCAAAAGTTGCAGCTGCGGAAGGAGTCGGAGTTATGCTGCGTTCAGGAACACAGTAAAAAATCTGTTTCCCGACACTCAACCATTGTTCATTGTCATTTCATAAATAGCCTACTGTGATCCATTTATATTRTCATACACCAAATAATAATATGTGTGCATATTTAAACAGTTAAAAACAACAGCTACAGGCTATACTGTATATATATAATCTGACTCCAATATTGTCTATCACAACAAGGCTGCTCAAACTTAACCCATTAATTATCGCGTGCGCACGCTTTATTATTTTGTGGCTACGTGAATTTTTTTTTTGTATGTCACCGGATGGGCTCCGTAAAAAAATAGCTAAAGGTAGCAAAAAAAAAACATCTAAAAAGGTAGATGAAAAAGCAAAAATAAATAGCTGTAAGTAGCAAAAAAAATGTTAAAAGTAGCAAAAGTTAGCTGAAAAAGCAAAAAAAAAAATAGCTGAAACAGCAGAAAAAACACTCAAATTACTAGTAAAAAAAGTAAAGATCATGTTTGCTGAATTAAGCAGAAAATAGCTGAAATTACCAACAAATTAGATGAAATTTACGAAACAAAAACAAGTTTTAAAAAAGGCTGAAATTAGCAGAAAGCAGCTGAAAGGAGCATTTAAAGCTTAAACTAGCAGATGGAAGTCTAAGTAGGTAGACAGAAGCTGAAATTAGTATAAAGTAAACACCAAAAGGTTTGAAGGAAATTCTGTTTATTTACAACGAAACAAAAAAGTGGCTAAAAATGAAATATTTCCAGCGTGAATCCTAAATCATCGTTTGAATCTTTCACTTCCCTGCAGCCACTCAACGAGTCCGGACTGCAGTCCTCCGAGGGTTCCAGTGAGTCCTCCTCGTCTCTGAACACAAATATCAGTTTCCTGTTTGTCAAACCTGGAGCTAACCATCAGTTTGTGTGTGAACAGCTGTGTCGGACCTGGTGCTGGACCGGTCCAAAGGGGACCGGAGCGACTTGATGATCCCTGTCAACAGGAGGTGGGTGTCTGATGGACTGGTGGACCAGTGGGTGGAGGAGGAACTGAAACCTGTGTGTTTGTAGGTCTCCTCAGGACATCCAGCCCCCGATGGAGCCGATCCTGGAGGAGCCCATCGACCTGCCGGAGGCTCCGTCAGACATGGAGGACAGGAACAGGTTCTTTACCTTCTCCCMTTTATTCACCCAACATTAATGGGTTTTGATTCTGAAGCRTCTTCTGAATCCTTCGCTCTCGCCTGCAGCTGGGTCACCTCCACCCTGCAGCTGCGCCACGAGGTGACCTTCGGCTCGGTGCTGCCCCCGGAGGCCGACCGCTTCACTGCGGCTCAGAAGTTCCACAAACTGCTGGGTGAGGACAGGATGACGTGCTCTTTTGTTTTTAATAAGTAAAACTACTTCATGGTAATGTTTGTCGTCTCCAGAGCTGCTGACAGCCAAGCAGCTGGCCGCTCATCAGACCGAACCGTACGATGACATCATCATTACTCCAGGAGGCGGGCTCAAGATGGACGACTGAGCACGGCCAACYTGTTTTACTGTTCGAGTTCAAATGAATATTTTACCTTTTTTTTTTACTAACATTTGTAGTTTTAAACCGTTTTTAAAAATACACAATTATTGATCCCTGTATTATTTTAACACGTTTTAAGATTGAAGTGTTTTAAGTTTGTTTTTAAGWGTTTTAACTTTTAATAAAAAGTTTTTATAAACAGACCAAAGTTCACTTTTATTTTGAATTTTTTTCTCRTGTTCCGACTTGAGTTGCAGGTTTTGGGTTCGGTTCTGACGTCACGCCTCAGTAACAGAACCCGACCGCTTGTTTGTGTCACCAGAGAGAGAGAGAGTCCTGATCCGAGGTCAGCGCTGCACAAACCCTCATTCACATGGGCCCGCTGGAATCAGAACCATGTCGAACTCCTGCGACAGAACCGGGCCGTGCCAGGACATATCCCTTTCAACGATACGCAACGTTTCCATCCAGAAAAGTACACAACTCTGTACACAAACTTTAAAAAAAGCAAGGCATTTTTTGTTTTGTAATAGTGGTTTCGCTGGAGTTTTTGAGGTATTGCACCGGAGAACACGGTTAACAAACGGATCAGAACCGGGAAGGAAAGGTCAAGGTTCGGGGATCTGTTCGAAACTGAACCCAAGGTCAGGTTTTATTTTCTGTCTCATCTGCACACAACAAAAAACGAGACCTTAAAGTCACATAGTTAAGACAACAGTGTGGTTTCTCCCCTGAGATCATCCATCATTCAAAACTCTGACAGTTTAATAAAACTAACAGCTGAGTGGCACATTCACACCAGCTGCTTATATCAGCCGTCTCACACACWCAAACACACACAGAGGACAGATCTGGTCCCGACTGAAGACCAGTCTCAGCTCCAGGACTCAAGCTGGCGGCGGACGAGAAGCAGGGTTTGTTGGAGAAGGGGGACGCGGAGCGGGGCGTGATGGTCCGGGTGGAAGTGGAGCAGGAGCTGCCCATGTCGGTGACGCTGCCCATCGAGGTGCAGACCGACCCGGCGGGCCAGCCCTTCCCCTTCCTGGACACCACGCTGGCAGACCTGGGCATCCAGGAGTGAGTTTTAGAGACCTTTGATTGGGGCGGGGCAGGGAGTCCAGATTAAGAATGTGTTTTTTGTCTGTGTGTTTGTGTGTCCAGGTCTGACGTGAAGGAGAGGGTGGTGTGGGTCGACACCAAGAAGACGCAGGTCAAGAAMAAAACCGGGAAGCTGAAGGAGAAAGAGATCACCGTTCTGGAGGCGAGTTCATGAAGCCGAGTGCAAAAAACAAAAGGGTTGCCAGGTAAAAAAAAAATGGGTTTGAACTTTGCAGGTTCGAGTGAAAGCCAAGAAACCCGGAGACAAGCAGGTCCAGGAGGTCCTGTACAGCACCGAGGCCCACACCGACCGCTCCTTCTGCCGCACGGGGATCGACATYCAGCCCTGGAAGCAGAGGCAGGCAGGTCTGAGATCAGAAACACTGAACTACATTACCCATGAGGCCCTGCTTCAGCTGGTTTCCTCACTGTCTGCCAGTCCAAAACCTGCTGAAACTGGGACTGTCAACGGCTGGCCCACAGGCCACTTCAAGGTCACTCGGTTCATTATCCTGGTCCCAGCATTAAAATTAAGTCTTGACATAAAAATAAGTTATTAAAAACAACAGATAAACAAAWTGGGATAAAACAAAAATCAATACTAAATTCTAACATTTATTGGTATTTTTACATTAGGACAAATAAAAAACATAATTCTTAAATAAAACCACTTTAATTTGCAGTCTTCCGTTAGTGGAAAAGGTAATAACAGGGTTCCTACAGTTAGAGTTAAATTTAAGACTTTTAATGCCAATTAAAAATTTAAGACCAATTTTATAACGAACATAAATGACAAAAAATAAAAACTGTGACAGAAACTCATGAATCAAAGTATTTTTAGTTGAAGTATGCAAATATTACTAATAGACCAATTTTATCTCACTGCTTTTTCATCAAATATAGCAAAAATTTTCAGTTTTAAATTTAATTTAATTTCTGGAAATCCTCTAACAACCTGAAGATTTGGAGTTTTAGGACCCACAGTGGGGTCTTAACCACAATTTGCTGTAGATGAA